TCACACGTGCATATGGGACAATAAATCTGAGGACCACCAAATTACTGAGTCCATTGGAGAATATGGGAGAGGAGATGCTACTCCATCCTGGCTGCTGAATGGCTACTCGTTACAGCTGTACTCAGAATATACGCTTACGCTTAAGATAGGAGTCTGCGTAGTGACCGCCGAGGCCTTGGGAGTGCTGGCCCACATAACCGCCTTCAGGGCTCGGCTCGGGAGACGGGATCAGCCGGGAGAACGTGCGCTTTTGGCTACCGATGGGAGTCTAGAATTACAAGAAAAAGAGGGGGGGTGGGGTTAAAATCAAAACAGAAACTTCAAAAAGAAAAATGTGAAACAATAACATTGAAGCCTATAAATTACCTTCATAACATTCTCCACACCTGCAGGGTAGTTGGTGTGGCTCACAGGAGGCATTCCCACAGCCTAAAGACAAACAACCACTCATCATTTGACTTCAACTCAAGCGCTCACAGTACAACATTAATTATTGAACACAGACTTATTCTTGGCACCTAACCCTCCACTATTTTATTTTTATTTATTTTTTTAATCCCTTCTAGTGCTATCCTCAGTATTCTTGCACTGACAAATAATCAATCCTTCATATATATCAAAAAACAAAAATCAATGCAAAGCTTTTGCTTACCCTGTTGAGCTTGGGGGTGGGAAGGCTCCCATTACAGGAGCTCTCAGACCCTGAGCTGAAATATGAGGACAGAGGTGGGCTTGGAGGGTAACTGTAGGGGGGGAACCGCTCACTGTATTCAGCGCAATGAGAGGCCTGCAGAGACAGACAAGTTCACAGCTATGTTACTACAGGGAGGCGTGCATTTAATTTACTGACACTACAAATGTCCTCAAGTCAGCTTTGAAACAGTTGACAAAGCACTACCTGCTGACCGAATCCTGCCAAGGCCCCGGCATCAAGATTCTCCTGCTGTTCAAACAAGTGGGCAAGGGGATCCTGAGGAGAGACACCAGATGGCATCGGACCAGATCGTGTCATAAAACCACTAAATGAGCAGCCAAGCGCTATACAGTAAATTCAACAGGTCACAATTACTAGAGCAGTAAGAAAGACAAGGAAAAACAAAAAACGCACAACCCATCGATGCAGAAAGAATACACATTTAAAAATCAGGAGTCTGAGCAGCAATGATTCATAGTTACCCGATGGAGTGGGGGGTACTCAGGGCTGTAGGAATCCTGGTAACGCAGGTTGTAATTCGGTTGCATGCTCTGGTTGGACACGTTACTCAGTGTAGGCCGCCTTCTGTAAGGGTGAGGTCTGCAGCTTCCTCCTGGAGGAGATGCA